AAAGATGTTCAGAGTGTTTGTTGTTATAGTTGTCTACTAATGGACTACTTAGCGCAACCACAATTCACTTTTTCTGATTTTTTTCATGCTTGTCACAAGAGCAAACTCTTGCTCCACAATAACATTCCAGAGTGCAGAAATAGCAAAAGTCAACATTTTGAAGAAAATTCCTGGTCCTTTACAGACTGTTAAATGTTTTTTAGTTTGATATGTCATAAAACAAAATTCTTTCTTTCTAAATAGAAATTTGGGAAGTACATATGATTACTTGAAGTACTTGACAGTGTAAAGCTGGCAGAGTCTTTGGTCTGAAAGTCCTTTTATCCACAAATAATTCATGTTTTTATTTATTTTTAACAGTAAATTAGAATGAAAATCATTAGAAATGTTTAGATTCTGGTAATTTTTAATTCACCTTAGTTTGGACAGAAGTAAGCTAAAGTTTGTGTTTTTTATTTTTATTTTTAAAAATTGTTTATTTTCCATCAAACTTATTTCCATTCTGTTTAAGATTTTGTGAAAGAATAGCTTAAGACAACTCAGTGGCTGTCCCTAACTATTCAGTGGTCTGAGCAGTGGGAGCCACAGACCAGTCTTCAGTGGCAGGGTGTATTTATTTTTATTTTATTTCTAATTGATGGTCAGTGCATTTTATTTAATCAGCACAGTACAAAAATAAATAAAAATAAGTGAAGAGGAATTTAATTATAGCCAAACTGAGCTTCATGACCTTGTCAGATTATAAACCACACACTTACAAACATACTACACATACATACACAATGAAACAAATATAAATTAATATTAACAATACCCACAGTCTGTTCAAAGAATAGCTAGAGAAGAAATTGCACCAAAAACCAACATACATCCCACATTGTATAATTAGCAGTTTCAAATATATAACTCTGAAAAATTCCTAGTGAAAAAAATTGCACATTTTATTTTCATTGCAAATTTAACAAGGGTTGAAACAAAACTAAATTCTAATAACTGCATGGAAAGAATATATCAACTGTTCAGCTTTATAAGAAAGAGAGAAACCAAATCCTGAACTATTATTTCTGACTTGTTCTGTGCACAGGTGTAATTATTTTTAATCTATTGAAAAAATGGATATGACAATATTATAAATAATATGTTGGCAATATGTATATGTGTGTATATATTTTTATTTAAGGAATTGTGCTGCTAAAGATCATTAAATTTAGTGATCTCCAAAGCAATTGCCATTTCATTCTTCTTTCCCCCCATAGCACTTACGTTTTTGAGCAGTAATTTCCCACATTTTTTCTTTCCTTCTGGACTATGAGTTCTTTCAAGGCAGACCCTAGTGTTATTCATCTCTGAATCCCTAGGCCTGCCATAGTATCTAAAACTTAAATTCTCCTTGAGTCTAGTAAGGAATACATGACTAAGCAGTCATTTACATTCAAACAATCAGTAGGCTAATTAAAGTCATTTTTATTACCACATAGAGTTGATAACAATAACTTTGTATCTTTTAAAAAATAATTACTAGTCTAACTTGCTTCTTATTTTCTCTCCAAAGCCTATCACAATATCTGGCATAAAATAGGTAATTAATAAATTTGTTAAATGTTCACTGACTTCAAAAGTTAAAGTTTTACTAATTTATGTTGATCTTTCTTTAGTGAATGTGATTTTAAAAGATTTTTTCCACTTAAGTGAGTAAAAGAGTGAGATAGAAATATTGCCAAATACAACCCCCATTGATTTGCCTCACTATCATTCATTTTTAAAAATGTTATTCTCTAAACATTGACAGTGACATATATCTAGGTATATAATTATATACCTGTAGTAAAGAAATAGTTTTATTCAGGAGAAACATATACTTGCTTAGCCCTTCATCACAGGGAAGTGCAAAGTATCACACAGTGAAGTGGCTTTTCTACTAGGATCCTGGGAATCAGTGTATGATTTATGTGAGTCTAAAGGGAGAATACATGCTACTGTATTCACACCCAAATCTCAATCTTATTACTAAGGGTATGATGTAAATAAATATCACTGCAGCATTTCCTGCTAACTTACTTCTCTAGGCAACTTGTGATAGGTAGTGTTTCAGTGACCAGGCCCATGTCCTTGGGATTTCCTAGTCTCCAACAATACTAACAGTTACCATGGATTAGGTGCTTACCATGTGTCATATTCTATGGCAACCTCTTTCCACAAATTACCTCATTTAATCCTCACTACAAGCCTTTGAAATCTATATAAGCCTTTTCCCATTTTTTTCAAGTGAAGTAGATGAGACAAAGTAACACAACTGACATCATCAGCAAATGAGTGGTGGGGTACAGAATCAAAACCATTTCTGTATGATTTCAGAAATCTAGTCTTTAATCAGTACAATACTTTGCCTTTTTAATTGAAATATAATTGATATACACATTGGTCATTATATTGATTTCAGGTGTACAATATAATAGTTCAGTAATTGTATATGTTGCAAAATGATTACCACAATAATCCTAGTTAATATCCATCTATTCTATACTTTTCTTGATGGTTAGCTTGAATTTTTAAAAAATCCTCAAGTACTGCAGATTGATCTGAAATAAAATACTGACATCTATCAGTGTTAAAGAACTTCTAATTTTGTAATTTGATCTCTAAAGGATTTTATAGAGTCTTAAATATAAGAAAAACAGGCAAAGTGACTTGTTTTAAATGACACTCTGCCTTGACAGACCACACTCATTTATCATTTGTTATTCTTCCTTAGGTTGGGATTCATTTATCATTCATCTAAACCGTGTTTGTTTTGTTTGGTCAATATTCCAGAAGCTCAGTACTTATTTGTTGAGCAAATGCATGAATGAGTTGAGGCTCACAATGTGTCCAATATTAGCACTAGCAACACAGAGCTGAAAAGCACATGTGTTTACCCTCAAGAACTGATGATCTAACAGGGAAAACTTGCACAAATGGTACCATGGCTAGGTGTCTGGCTGCACTAAAGGATGATTAAGATATTTGGAAGGGTATGTCTAGAGGTATAAGGACCTGCACACTGTTTGGTGGTGCTGGAAGAGTGGAGGGGACTCAATTCTGCATACCTTATGTGGCATCCGAGAGAGCTCAGTTTTATTCTGTCAGGAAGATATTTAAAACAAAGAAGATGGTCAAACCTATATTTTTAGAAGGATCCCTAGGGTGTTTGCATAGTGAATTGGCAAACTGACAATTTTGGATTTATAGTATGATGTTTAAGAGATTAATGTGGCCTGTCCTAGGGTCCCTGCAATAGGATTAAGGATGAGGAGAAGGATTTAAGAAGTATTTAGAAGATGACCAGGGAGAAGATAAGAATTAAAAAAAAAAAATCATTAGTTTCTCCATGGTAAATGATGCCCTAAGAATGAATGAGATCTCAAGAGAGTTTAGAGAGTTGTGGGTTAGGAAGATAAAAATTCAAGGGACAGGAGGAGAGAGAGTTGCACACACATGGTAATAAGTAAAAATAGTCATAGATTGTGTGATTTCTCATAAGCCAACTAATAGATGCTTGAAGAAGAGAAACATGTTCTGTGGTGTGAGTCAGAGGAAACAATAGATGCACACTAATGTTTTGAGATTTTTAGATGACAAAGGGGGTAAATATTGTATAACAGCTAAAGAAGAATGTGGAAGCAAGTGAAGGTTTGGGTTTTGTTTTAAGATGAGCGATAACTGTAGCAGGCTTACAGACTGAAGACAAAGAAAGAACACAGGTCCTCTAACTACCCCCTTCCAATGTTCTCCATTCACATTCTCAGCTGCATGGACCCAAAAGTAGTGTTCTGTTTGAGTCTTCTGGGCTATATCTGAGTAGTCCTCTTATCTAATTAATATGTTTACATTCCCTGACATCTCAGAAACTCTTTCCAGAACTAATGAATCCTATAGTGAGGTTGCTCTAATGAGAAACCAGTCAGGGGAAGGAATATCATCTCTAATACATATTATAAGCACACAGTTAATATTTTCTAAACAAACGTGGTGATGCAGGTCATCTCTGAATTCATCATTGAACTCAAGAGTCTTTCTTAAAGCCACTATCTCATTCTTTCTATGTTACAGTTAGTATTACATCTTACCTCCCCACCCTAAACCTCAGACTTCCTAAGAGCAGCAGACAATTATCTGCATATCTCTTTAGGCCTCAAACACTCAGCAATATTTGGCAAAAAATAAACATTAATGCACATTTATCTGAATATGTGATAGAGAGCCAAGACTTCAGTCATTTTTGTCTTATTTTGAAAGAATGGGTTTCACTATCTTGTTGGCATTTTCAATCTATTTTTTTCTAGGTGCCTTATGAAAAACAAGCCATTGACCCTAACAGTACTCTCATATTCCACCTCAATATCTAAGCACCTTTAAATCTCCTAATAATGTGTCACCATTTTAACTCCAGCTTTTTTACTTCATGGTTTTATCAATTTCTGAAGGTCATTTTTTATGAATTACAGAGATGGATAGCAAGTTGCCACATACAGTTTTAAAAAGCTCTCTAATTGATCCTTTTATGCCACTTTTCATGATCTATTTTGACAGAGTCAAGAATGGAAAGTAGTGTAAAAGAATCTCTCATGATGGAATAAATAACTCCATCCTCTGTGTTATTTTTTCTAGCATGCATTCAGCTGTGGTGTGATTGTGTTTGTTTTTATAACCCTGATCCTTGCAGGGGTCATGTGACATTTATCATTTCTTCAATCTTTATTGGAATACCTGGCACATAGTAGACAGTCAATGAAAATTTGCTGAATGATGAAGTTCAGAAATGAAACAAGTCATAAGATTGATCCTTTAGAGCTATCAAGATTATACAGATTAGACTCTTGTTCAGTCTAACCCAAATAACAAAAGTGGCAGGGGTTGATATGGAATTTAAACTTTTAGAACTTCGAGTGTTTTTAACCTTGTGTTATCTTAACTGCCCTTTCTAAGCACAGTATTTTTCTCTCTCTCTCTATTTTCTGCAGGTTGGACTCAGATCTGTGATAGAGCAATTTCCTGGGAAGCTTGATTTTGTCCTGTTGGATGGGGGTTTTGTCCTAAGCCATGGCCACAAGCAGTTGATGTGCTTGGCCAGATCTGTTCTCAGTAAGGCAAAGATCTTGCTGCTTGATGAACCCAGTGCCCATTTGGATCCGATGTGAGTTTCAGAATTCTTGGTATTTAATAATACAGTGGGAGCAAAATGATTGAGTCCCACTTCATAGTGACACAAATTCCCATTAGGCTGTCATGTCTGCAAGTGGAAGAACCTCCTTCAGCTATGAAATAATTGCACAGTGGAAAAGTCACCATTTGACATGAACAAGTGCTTATTTCCTAGTATAAGAGCCATGTGTTCTCTTCTGAGTATAATTTTGGAATTTCATACAAACTCTCCCCCTTGTCAATACATGATGAAATATTTAGTTACATAGGCATAATCTGATTATGATTTTTGTTTCTTTTCCACTTATACAACAGGAAATAGTTATAGCACAAAAGAACTACTAGTGGTTCTACATAATGAAAAAAATGAACCTCTGTGAAATTTTCTTCAAAATATTTGTCCTGTCTATTGATGGAAACTTAGATCTACCCCATGGTTGGAAATCTGATTGTGGTTGACTCTAGATCACAGTTATGTTAAAAGTATTTAAAAACAGATAAGTAATTTAAAAGACTAAGTCGATAGGATAGTAGGTATGTTATTAAGGGTAAAGGCAGATTATTTAATGTTCTGTTATGTGTGGTATTTTCTTTCCTTTCTAGAACATATCAAATCATTCGAAGAACCCTAAAACAAGCATTTGCTGATTGCACAGTGATCCTCTCTGAACACAGGATAGAGGCAATGTTGGAATGTCAACAGTTTTTGGTGAGTGTTTATAATTTACTTAAGACCTCATTTCTCTTCTAATTCTTAATAAAAATCTCTTATGTGATGGTTCCTTCAAATCACGGTAATGTACAATTCCTCCCTTAAAACATGTGTCATGTAGCCATTTAGTTAGTTTTACTCAAAATAGCTACACAAGTTTCTCACTTCGATATGAGCTATGACGTGAGGTTGAAATTCAATAAATCTAAAAGAGCAGCATATTACTAATTTATGTTAATAAATTGGAACATCTTTACTTTTTGAGTCCCTTATTTGAGGATCAAGTCAGAAGAAAGACTTAAGTCCTGATACTTTTAATAACTAAATCTCCCTTGAATGGAGTCCAGGACAGACCTGGATTGTCTTGCATCTCACATATAGTTTTAATGTGATAGCTGAAAGGCTCATTTCATTTTTCATTATTTGGTGCCCAGATGAGTACCTCTCCCAACCACATTCTCATTGTGCTTTCAAAACTGTCACAGATTCTTTCAAGTGATGTTTACAAATTCCCTTGGGTTTAGTCACAAGGAAGTTCTTGGAATGATGTATCACGTCATTTCTGCTAAGACTTTTGAGGCTGCTGGAGGTAAACACTTCCTTACCGAAGGACTGTTATTATCTTTATTATTACTAAGCTTCAGGTGACAAATTAGGGAGCTGACTCACAACCTCTTGCCCTGCCATGATCAGGTTCAGGAAATTTGGTAAAACCTTTCTATTCTCTGGGTTTGGGTTTGCTCAACTTGAACATGTGAAGGAGGCATATTAAACTCAGGCACATCTTGACCAATTTGGAATTAACTTTCAAATCCCTTGTTGAAGAGGTTCAACTATCGTGCTATGGACTTCCATTAATTTTTAAGGTAATATATAAGGAATCTAATAAAAATCATTCTGGCTTACAAAGCCCCCTAGGTTTCTCTAAAGTTCTGTGAAGAAGTATATTGCTCAGTACAATCCTAGTTTAAAACAAAAATCTTCCAGATGCTAAGTAGAAAAGTTACAGGTAATTTCACAGATGGTGAAAGCTTGGTAAAGCAAGAGGAAGAAGGACTCACCAGTGAAGCAAAATCTCCCTGACTATTCAGACTGCAAGTCTCTGCACAGTGTGTTTTCCTTTTAGCTTTTATTTTCCTCAGAACCTATGCCACTTTCTGTCCTTGCTCGGGTCTTGCCTTCTCTCCAAGACCTCACTAACTGCCACTTCCCTAGGTCATAGAAGAGAACACAGTGCGGCAGTATGATTCCCTCCAGAAACTGCTGAGCGAGAAGATCCTCTTCCAGCAAGCCATGAGTCCACTGGACCGCCTGAAGCTCTTACCCCATCAGAACTCAAGCAAGCACAAGTCTCTATCCAAAATCACTGCTCTGAAGGAAGAGACAGAAGAAGAAGTACAAGAAACCAGGCTTTAGAAAACAGTATGAATATTTGCATGCAATGCTCACTAATGGAGTTGTAGGAGAAAACAGTTTATGCCTCAGAAAACAAGGATAAATAATGTTATTTTTCAAAAGAAAACATCTTGGTAAGAGGAATTAAGGATGTCCCCATAGGTCTGGATGAATTGCTTCCCGGCAATGGTAAAATTGTGTGAAAGGTACTTCAAATCCTTGAAGATTTACCATTTGTGTTTGCAAGCCAGATTTTCCTGAAAACTTTTTCTCTTTGGTAGTTATTGGAAAGGTGACTGTAAATGTCAACCAGCTTAGTTCGACTTATTCTTTAGTGATATTTCTTGATTTGCATTATTGGAGAACTGTAATCATACTATTTAGAGATACAATTAACTGAAAACTTTACTGGTTTATATTCCTTTTTCTCTACTCTCTCCAAGATATTTAACAACAAAACTATATAGTCTAATAAGTATTCAGACTGTCCCATTTCCAAGCAAGTATTAGAATACTGTGAGAGTTACAAGACAGTCCATCAACATTATGTAATGGCAACATCTAAGTATTAGTCAGGACAAATGACTTCCGGAATCCTAGAAATCAGGGTTAGTACCATATTGCTCTACCAAAAATTTGAATAATTCAGATATCAGAATACATTCTTTACCTGGAAAAGAGGCTCTTACACAATGTAGGGGGACAGGCTAGATCCCTTCGTGTGGAAGTTCACATGCCTTTCCCCACCTTCCAGAAAGTAACAAGGTCATAAAACCTCTTAACTGAAGGATGGCCAAAAATTGGTGCAGAAAAATCCTTGTTATCACAGAAGCTCCAGGTAGTGAACACACAGGCAGCTAAGCAGTGGGGGCTGCAGGTATGCATACCTGAAACCTGAAAATCTACATATAAATGAAGTGATGTCTTGTGTTTTCAGTCTCACTGTACTGTATATACTGAGTGGGACAGGCAATGGGAGACATGTTGAAGAATCAATCATGAATTAGCTTTTTATGCTTCTGCTTTATAATTTTGTGATGCAAATGAAATTTTCTATAGGAACTACTATTTATTCTAATGTTTAAAACTCATAAATGGCTGTATTTTAAGAATGATTTTATTATGAATTATATTTGTATAAAAATTTATATTTGAAATTTTGACTTTTAATGGCATTAGCTATTTTTATACATTAAAACTGGGGGAAAGCTTAGGGTGTTGTTGACTGGGGGCTGTGAAGTACCTCGAAGGTGTGGAGAGAAGCATTAGGGCTCAAACAATTGTTGTACACACCTGGATGATTTCCAGCGAGCACACATGTTCCCTCTTAGGTGCAGCTCTAAAGAAAATAGTACCACCAAAGCTGACTACTCCTGTCAAGGACACACTACCCTCCAGCTTCAAACTAACCCTTGAATTATATTTGTTACTGTAAGAAAATATCACTTGTCAATAAAAACCATATATTTGTGTGAAACTTAGCTCTTTTCAGATGTGTTTCATTGATCATGTTTCTTACTTCAATCTTTAAGGATCATGGAGCACAAACCATGAAACTCCTTTAGATACGTCCTCTTGAGAATCTCACATGAATTTAGACACTCTTAAAATTATTTCTTTTAAAAATTGGGGTAAAATATGCATAACCTAAAATTTACGATGTTAACCATTTTTAGTGGTCTTAAGTACATTCATATTGTTATACAATTATCATCACCATCCATTTACAGATCTTTTTTTAATCTTGCAAAACTGAAACCCTAGCCATTAAACAAAAACTCACTATGTCTCCCTTTCCCCAGCTTCTAGCAATTTTTACCTCATATGAGTAGAATCATATACTACATATTTATCCTTTTGTAACTAGTTTATTTCACTCAGCACAATGTCTTAAAGATTCATCCATGTTGTAGCATATTTCAGAATTTTCTTCCTTTTTAAGACTGGAATAATACTCCACTGTATGTATATACCACATTTTGTTTATCCATTCACTTGTACATGCACACTTAGGTTGCTTCCACCCTTTAACTATTGAATAATGCTTTTATATAAACATGGGTATACAAATATCATTTTGTGTCCCTGCTTTCATGAGTTAGGATACTTTTCAAATTGTTTTTTTGTTTGTTTGTTTGTTTGTTTTAAAATGGACTTTTAGAACAACAAAAAATATTCCACAACTGTTCATTTATTTCTTTGAAAGCTTATTCAAATAGCGGTAGTTTTCTGATAGCTCTTGATAAGTAAGCAAATCTCATCAAAGGAAATAGTATTTCTACATTAAACCTGGGTGGCTTTTCATTATCCAAACCTCTGTTTTTAATTGGTGAGGCTTCTTTGGCCCTTTTCCTTCCTTGCAGAGTTTATTTTTCTTTTCCTGAGGAAAATCTGCTGATGCCTTTATTGTTTTGGGGGCAGGGGTACATCAGGAGCTCTTGGTGGCTACGCAGGATAATGGCCATGTGCTGATCCCTGTGGCACTTGTTCTTGAGGGTCCTGTGCAAGATCCTTCTCAGGATGGCCTGGGTGTTCTTGTTCATGGTGGTAAGCACGTAAGAGGTGGCCTGGTTTCGCTAGCTGTATCTCTGCTACAGGACAGCCACCACGCCTTTGCCAGGGGGAAGCAGGAGGAGAGGTGGGCCTTCAGATGACTAGGCTCTGCTCTGACTTCTGCTTCTTCCTCTTGGTCCAGAAGCTGGAGCATGCTGCTCCACCACCACCCCACTACAGGTGGGCGGACCCTGCGGCAGCTGCTCTCGCTGTGGTGGCAGGAGACTGAAAGAGCCTTCCAGAGTTTCATGAAAGATACAGATGCAGTGTGGTAGATGAACAACAGGTCCCTAGGAGTGCCAAGCCCTCCATCCCTACCTTTACTTATTTGGAGAGGTTTGTTTTCACACTTGACCCCAAGAAGGCAGTTTAAAGAGCATGCTCAATTCTAATTATTCCAGATAATTTTTAAAAAATTAATCTACTTTGTTTTTTAGGGCATTTTTAAGTTCACAGCAAAACTGGGCAGAAAGTACAAAGTCCCCATATACCTTCTGCCCCCACACGTGCACAGCGTCTGCCACTGTCAACAAAGTCCATGGTTTACATTAAGTTCTGTCTGTTTTTGCCTCTTGTATATTGTGTGTACATGCACTTCCATTGTTAGACACATACACATTAAGGATTGTTGTGTCTTCTCGGAGTATATTGACCACTTTATAATTATGCCACATCCCTCTTTATCTCTAATAACTTTCCTTATTCTGAAATCATCTCTATCTGAAATTAATAGAGGTATTTCCTCTTTCTTTAGGTTAATGTTAACATGGTATAACTTTCTCCATGCTTTTAATTTTCATGTGTCTTTCTATTATCCAAAGTGGATTTCTTATAGACAACATATAGTTGGTCTTGGTTTGTTATCCACTCTGACAATCTTTGTCTTTTAATCAGTGTTTAAGTCATTGCCCTGTTCTTTGTTTTTATTTTGACTGCCACATTTTTGTATGGCTTTAATTGAACATTATTTTATGATTCTATTTTCTCTTTCTTAACATATCAATTATGTACTTTTTTTTTTACATTTTAATGGTTTTTAGTTGTTGCTCTAGAGTTTGCAATATGCATTTACAACTAATCCAACTCTGTTTAAATAACATTATAATACTGCATGTAACTTATAACAACCTAATAAGTACCATATAAGAAGAAAATATTCCTAATTCCTCCCTTTTCTCCCTTCTATCATTGATCTCATTCATTTCATTCGTACATAAGCTTATGTCAGGATATTTATATATATATATATATATATATATATATATATATAACATAATTAATACAATGTAGCTATTATTTATTGAACAAGCTGTAGTCTATTCAATTAATTAAAAATAGGAAAAGTAAAATTTTAATTTTACTTTCGTGTGTTCATTCTCTGATGACTTTCATTTCTTTATGTAGATCAGTGTTTCTCACCTGTATCATTTTCCTTCTGTGTGAGATAGGGGAGTTCTATGTTCGGGTTCAGTCTTTTGGAGAACCTGTGCCCCTGGACTGTGAATTGACCAGGGCCTCTCAGCTTCTCCCCACATGCTTAGGTAGGACAGGATGGCAGGAGGTGGCTGGAGTTGAGTGTTTCCCTTTCCCCAGGTGTACTATGCTCTGGTAAAGTAGTTTCTCCGAAGGGTAATCCTTGGCATCCGGAGGTATATTTCAAAATGATTATTGTACCCCTCCTCCTGCTGGAATCCTGAGGAAATTTTCACTAATCTTTACTGTGAATACCTGTTACAGCTTCTGAAGGTAAAATTCATGAAAACATGGGTTTCCCTCCCCTGACAACGGGGTGCCTTAGACATTTCCTCTCTCAGGCTTGACTACACTGAGACTCTAGCAATACACCAGTTATGTTCAGATTTTCTTACCCTAGTACTAGATCCTAAGGAGGTTTCCGCTTAGTGGCTTCCACTCAGGCAAGTTGTATCTGCTTGTCTGTCTCTGCAATTCGTGGGGCACCAGTTTGCCTTGGGGCCCTACTTCTTTGACAGATCTAAGAAGAGTCATTGATTTTTCAGGTAGCACAAATTTTTACTTATTGTTTGGTTGGAATGTAGACTTCTAAGCATCTTACATGCCAGATCAGAAACCGGCCATCTTTCAGGTTCATCGTGAATAATAAATAAATAAAGGAGAAGAACTTTGCAAAGATGGAAGGAATCAAATCCCAGCTAAATGTGACAAAAGAAGTTGTAGTTCTGAAAGACCACTTTAAGAGGAAAAGCACTGAGACAAGAAGGGAAATTCAGTGTTGGCCACCCAGGCTACTTTGTTCATGCCAATACTTGGTTTTTCTTTATATCAAGTTTTCCCTCTTCTTTTTCTATTTAAAAATAAACTGTTTTTCCCCCACAGACTTCCTATTTTTGTCTGTTTGTTTTTTAAATCTAAGTCTTTAGTTTTGGAGGTTACTTTTTTCAGTCTATGTCCACTCCCACACAACACAGTGTCTTCATTGATTTCTCAGACCTTTCACTTTGTTCTTCCTCATTATGAGAAAAAATGCTAAAGCTTGAAGCAAGTACATTTCCTTCCAGTAATCAGGGACCTTCCAGGGTTGGGAAATTGCTACGCATTAGAGTGAAAAGCTAATAAAACTC